TGAGTGCCACAATGTTGCATGTCTCGCAGAATTCTGAATTTTATGCCGGCGTTTTTGAAAGAAAACGAAATTTCTTGAATATATCTGTATATGTCATTACGTATGACTAAATGATGTAATGTTTTAATATTCAGGAACACCGGAGTTTATGGCTCCAGAAATGTATGAAGAAATGTACGATGAGTCAGTAGATGTATACGCGTTTGGAATGTGCCTCCTTGAAATGGTTACTGGTGAATATCCCTATATGGAGTGCCAGTTTCCAGCGCAAATCTATCGTAAAGTCACTACGGTACGTCAACCCACGTGCTATTCTTCATCCGCCGCAGTCTTCTTAATGACAGTCTGCTGTTGTTTAGGGTGTGAAGCCGGAGTGCTTCAACAGAATTCCTCAACAATATCCTGAGATACGAGAAATTATTGATCGTTGTATCCGGTATGTTGATTTTGCTCGTGTAGCCTAGAAGCCTAAAACTATTCTCAATGTCTCTAGTGTTCGTCGTGAAGAGCGAAGTACTGTAAAACAGTTGTTAGCTGACGACTTCTTTACTCCAGAGGAGCTCATCGGTATCCGTGTTGAGATTAAAAATCGAGATTTAGATCTTTCTGAGCTGAATGTAGAGGTAAATTCTATATTCCGGTATAAGTAGTAATAGACATCGTGTGATAGTAAACCGTCAGTAAGACTAATCCCGCATAAATTTCAGATCCAGATGCAGTTGACGGTATATGATGAGAAAAAACGGAAGCAATATCGATTTAAAGAGAACGAGGGACTCCAGTTTGCTTTTGATATCGAAAATGATACAGCTGAAGAGGTAGGGGTTTTGAAACAAGAGTTTCTGCCAGAGCTTTCTCGTATTGGAATTTTGAAGTGACTGCTATTTAGTTTTGACTTTAGGTAGTACAGCAGATGATAGAACAACAGCATATTCCTGACGTGGACACGAAGATGATCACGAAGCTGATTAAGGATAAGGTATGCGTTTTAGACTTTGCTTTTGCACTACCAAAAACTGTATCAAGTGTTTTTAAATATTATTCTCTAGGTGGAAAGCTTCAAGAGGGACAGAGAGTTTAAAATAGCTGAATTGAGAAGACAGCGCGAAGAGGAAGAGCGACAGCGAGAAGAACAAGCCATTAAGGAAGAAATGAAGCTTAGAGCTAAAGAGAAGGAGAATGCCGCTCGGTTAGAAGCTGAACAAGTAAGGCAATATGTTTCCTGCTTGTCTGTTTATCTGCTATTGTTTTTGTTTTCTATGATTAGATGAATGTAATGGTGAAAATCATTCTTTTCCAGAGAGAAGCTGCAGCAGCTGCCGCCGCTGCTGCTGCGGCCGCTGCGGCTGAAGCAGCTAGCGCTCCAGCAGCACCAATAGCTGTTTCACCTCCGTTAGCCACAATTGCACAGACAACATCTTCAACAATGCAATCGGCAATAACAACGACACCAATCGCATCGAATGACAAGGCAACACAGAGTGTGACAACTCCTGTGGTGAGTCCTTTTTATTACACTTCTTTGATCATAAGAGAGTTGTGAATTTTTGTAGCCTACGTCTGAAGATGCTCCCGATGGTCAGATTGCTACACATGAAGAGAAGAAGAAAGCTAAGAGGAAGATTGCGCTAGAGGTGTTGAAAGTCGACAATGTTAAGGACCAACCAGCTGTGAGTCGTCATTATTGCTACTTTGAGATTTATAGATTCACAAATTTTGCTTGTAGTTGGTATCGTGCAAGCTTGATACTGCGCACAAGACGGTGACCTTCCAGTTCGCACCGGACTCTGATAAACCTTCAGTAATCGCCGAAAAGCTTGTATGTTCTTGCAGTAAATAGTACTTTCGTCAACTGAACGTAGTGTACAGTTTTTTTT